ATTTCACTGTAAAACGCTGCTGCCTTTTCACTTTGGATGTATGCAAACTGTCTGGTAGCGAGGGTAAAATAAATTTGCCCGTGTTTTCATGTTTCCGTCTTTAAAAAAAAAAAAAAAATCTCATTGCATCAAAAGGGAATGGAAATGTGAAACATTCTTACCCTGTGTTTCCAAGAGCCTGGAGAGCCCGGCTGCTAAACAACTAATTTCTTTCAGACATTTGCAAGTCTTCTTTGTGGATTACACAAAGACATAAGGAGTCTGCAATGGCCTAACCTCTGTTCTGCCATTCCCAATTCATTCAGCGCTGACAGATTTCCTTTTCCCGGCGAACATGCTCTTGTCATTAGCATGCCTCTGAACTTTAACTCACAATGCCTCTTCTGCGCAGTTCTGATGAATTATTTCATCCTGTATGGAGCTGACTGCGGGGCATACACATGTAGGTGCTTCCTCTGGTGCGGGGCAGAGTCGTTTCATTCTGGTGGAGGGTGGACACCTGTTCCCCCTGCTCTGTTAATCATGACCCCAGACTGGGCTGCTGACATTAAACTGTGAGCTTTGAGAACGCGCTAATTCTGATCTTCAGAAGGATAAATTACGACTAACCCCTTGCCCAAATATTCGTCCGTACATTCTGAGAAGGATAAGCAAGACAGTGTTGTTCACATATGGAAAAATGTCAGCACTTTTGGTCTCTTGACGGTTCCGTATGGGTTGTAGCCAACAGGAAACTCGCTGACAGGTAAAATGAATAACAATGCACGCAACACAACAGTGCAATGAGACATAACAAAGAGCCCAAAGAGAGTCCCATCCCACTTCAAATCTTACCCTGACGATTTCAAACCACAACGTCCGGCTCGAAGACTTGGACGAAGACCACAAGACCACAATGTCCACAGTCGTCTGTGCAGGTTCGAGAAAATAGCCATCACTTGTACCACAGTTAACGAACAGGCCATTGAAAGAAACAGGACGCATCAGTAAATAAATAGGATTACTCATTAGTTTGTACATGTGTCTGTGTCACTGAGGGACACGGTGTGGTCTCAAAAATAGGCGTTTTAGGAAATCAGTACATCTGTTGTCTACCATTCAATAACCGAAGGTGACACGAGATAAAGAAGTCAGGCAGACGTCAAATATCTTTAAAGAGAAGTGTCCGAGAGCTCAGATAACTAAACCACCCATTGAGATCAAACCACCCTAAGTTATTAGAAAGAACCCATAGGAGGAGGTCGTGAGGGGCACTGGCTGACTGATTAATGTTTTCCCACAACCCCTTCATATCTCTTTTAAGCTCGGGCTTTATAGGGATGTATAACCATCTTCAATCGAGAGTACACCTTCTTAATTTGAGGGCAGAATTCTTTGCTTTTCACTGTTCTGCTTCCAAACTCTGTCGTCACCCTCGAAAAAAGCCCTGGCTTGCATACGGATATGCTCCGCTCCACTTTAAAAACTGCGTTTCTGTGCTCTAATGCTCACTGCTGCATGTACAGATGTCCTGCGATCACTCGGCCGGGTCTCCGGCTTTCACCAGCCGCTCCAGGTCGCTTATGACACGAGCACCTCTCTTTGGGACTGAGTGATGTAAAAACGAATGCTCCCAGAGAGAGGTCACAATGATTTCTTTGCTTAACATCCCACCTTAAGTGACATGCCATCAATGATCATAGTAAGAGACCAAAGAGATGAAAATTCCAAATAAAAAAAAATTGTATTGCCTTCATTGCAGATAGCCAGGTTTGTGAAAATGACTGTTAGTCCAAGGATTCACCAGGTCACAGCCCAGTGTGACGTAGATTTCAAAATGTCAGAATCCTCCGATCATGGCAGAAGGGAGGACCGGCAGAGGACGCCAGGAACTGTGTGGGTATGAAAGCCAAGTAGCAACAAACTCTTAGAAACTATCCCCACTGCAAAAAGTAAATATCAATTTCAGACGGATGGGAAAATAGGCCCTTAGGAGTCAGACAGCAGCCACTGTCACAACAATTACTCTGAGCGGCACAGACCAGCTGCCTGGCTTCGACCACTCCTGACATACAAAGTCTTGTTCTATTAAGCCAGAACAGCAGTTCTGGGCCGCTTTACCTTGGCACAGCTGTACACGATAAACCAAGCAAAAGGGCGCCTTGTGTACACAGCGTTTAGAGATTGAAGGGCTGTGCACATAGGTGTGATTGACTTGGAGGAGCCAAAACAGACAAACAAACCTGTACTAGTTGGTTTCTGTGTGTTTTTTTAAATATTACACACTTATGTACGCATTTTTTTAACCACTAGTGGGAATCTAGGGGAAAAACCTAAACATTATCAAAAGACCGACTAAAGCAGAAGCTTCAGACTCTACCAGTCCCTATAAAAAGGTTCTGTTTTTCCATTTTGGAATAAAAACAAGAAGAAAAGTCAGTCAACAAGTACAATGCGCCGGTGTCAAGTGGGAATTGTGTTTGTCCGTGTTATTTTGACTGACCTTTTTTGAGGTTATGAAGAAGAAATCAAGAGCTTTAGGGAGTCACCGGGCTGACATGGTACCCCAGCTTAGCGGCCCCTTTTAGCTCTCCTCGTCATGCTGCAGTCGCACATCTGCACCTATATATCAAAGCCATGCACAAAAACATTCCTGAGAGCAAAGCGGAGGTGATTTGTGTGCCTTTCTCCTTCTTTTTTGATTAGAATTCATCTGTGATCTAACTGTTCTCTCAGCTAAAAGCTATACCTTTTAAATCAGTCATCCATCCAGAGCTTAGACCTGCACTACATTAAGACCTGCGCTGACATCACAACTGTTTCCACTCTCCCCACTTCGCCTCATGCCTTTTCATATACTTGCTCTTGTCCTCAACAGATGGACAACCTCGCAGCCAGTGATTTCTTTTAAGTGTTTAATAAATGTAATACAACCTATATAGTGTTGGAGAAAGGAGTCCAAACCAGAACCATGTGCATGAAATGGATGGCGGCCGTTAGGGGCCACAGCTAATGTGGTTCAACATGTGGCCCCGGCCAGGCGGGAAGTTCACTCGCATGCTGAGCAGTTTATGACCTTCAGTGCAGGTTCCCTCCAAATGCAGACGCCGTCTTCAAGTTACCCCACGCTAGTTTATGATGTGATATCTTTTTTCAAAAGTATTCCAATGAGTTCCCTACATTATAAAAATAAAACAATGAAAAAAAGACTATAGGTGATGCTGGAATGTTGTCTTTTAAAGGTTTTATCTCACAGAGGACAAGAACTAGGTTATTATATTCCTACAGAGCATAATATATGAACGTGTTTGACTTATTGTCAAATTAAGGAAGAGTGTCATGACCCAGGTTGTTTATCTGCATGCCTGTCGTTGTTATTTCATCCAACTCAACCTGACAAGGCTAACCACAACAGATCATAAAATATTCCTGAAAAGGAATGTGTGTAGTGATGGAACTGGGTAAATCATCAGCACTTGGAAGCCAACCAGCAGCTGTGCGGTGTGAATACTCTGAAATCTTATCAGATCTGGCCCTCAGGTGGCAATTCAGTGGTCTCCCAATTATGTTTGGGGTTTTTGTTTGTCATAAAACTCTTTTTGACACTGATTTCTTTTAAATATTTTTTTTTCTGCAATCTGTGTAAAATAAAAGTTAAATGTTTCTCTCAGAGTACAACTCATTAGATATTGATATAGTATTTAACATCATTATGTAAATTATTAATATGAATGTCCATAGAAAAAAGCTAAGTGAATAAAGTTACATCACTTTCTTTTCAACTTACCACATGTTCATGATGGTTTATAATCAGATCCAAAGTGGTTAGTTTTTATTTGTATGCACACGTGCTACAAATTTACACGGAAACAACAGCAGCTGCTACAGCTATTCATTGGTTAGCTTGCGATGTTGACAACTATTCATTTTAACACACAACCAACTCCAAACGGAAATAAAGATATCCAAATATTTCCAAATTTGTTTTGTTTTTTCTACGTATCTAAAGATACACGGCACAAAGAAACATGTGAAGCAGACCAGCTACAAATAGTTGGAGCCTTGAATCTGATTATTCTTCAGCTAATATAGCTCAACGAAGAATGGCAACAAGCTAGTACAGGACAAATGTGGTCCCAATTGTGGACAGTGTGCTGGTTTGAATCATTTTTGGAAGCATGCACCATGAGTAAATTAATTTTAGGGGTCTAAAAGTCTGTTTCCAACATTAAATGGGATATATCGTCTATGTTTTGGCACATTAACATCCTTTATAACTTGTCACAAAGTGACATGCTTTAATATCCACCCAACATCACAGTTAATATAAAACATGAGAGCTGAGATCCGCAAATGTATTAAATCGCATCAGACACGTCTTTGTACAACCTAATATTTCACTAAGCCGGAGCATTTCATTCAGAGATGTACTCTTGATAAGAGCAATAATCTCAGCTTGATGGATGGCCCGGGCTGAGCCTCGGGCCAGTGGTGTGTACATACTGCACTGGTTGCGGCAGCACGATAAAACCAACATAGGCAGGTGTGTTTGGTTAAGATGCACTTGTCAAGTGGGGTGACAAGCATGTCTGTGTTCATTCAAGTGAACCCCTTATCTTCACCTCCATGTCCCACTCATGAAATGCACTTCCCCATGTTTGTATGATTTACCCCTCTCGAGTAAGTGCACGCACGAGCACACGTTTACTGTGTCGAGACGCATACATTAAGTAAAACGTGTTAGCAAATGTCCTTCAATGCCTTACCAGTAAAGGATACCCCCAATTCAACGCCAACGATGTTTTTCGCCTGTCTTTTTTTAATTAGGTTTTTTAAATTAAAATATCTAAAACTCATTTAAATAAATACGAATTTACTATATTATTTAAACAAAACATATTGATAAGTAAACAGATACATAAAACCATAATAAAAAAAATACTAAGTGCGTGCAACTTTTTGCTTGACCTTTAGCAGCCAGAGCAGGAAGTGACGTCAGAGTAGGAAGTAAAGCTGGTTGCTCGCCCACAGCAGAGCATAGCAATGGACTGCTACAAAACTAGCAGCGACAAGTGAGAGAAGCTGGCGTCGTAGCCTTAGCAGCTGCGATATGAATGTATTTATGGAAGCAGCTTCTACAGAGCTAAAGTGCTGAATGTACATCTCGTGTCGGGGAAAATGAAGCCAAGGTAAGCAGCCTTGTGAGAGTGTGATGCTATGTCTGTTCAGCAGCTAGCTGCATAGTGCTAACGTTATCCCACAGTAACTAAATATTTTGATGCAAAACTCAGTGTAAAGTGTACATTTTACTGTTGTATTTCTGATACTTTGGGACATTTTGGGATTATTGTTGTTAGCTTAATGTCAATTCCTTACGGCAAACGTGGAAATGTGCTGTCTTAAAGGAAAATCACACCCTACTTTGTCTATTTTGTCTATGTAACCACCTAAATCGGCGTTTGGAAATATACAGCTAGGATAGACCTCTAAAGTGTTTAATCTAAAGACACTTTGATATAGCCCAGGATCACTCTACTTGGATGTGCTGTCTTATTTTCTATCAGAACCATTTTTTGTCACTTAATATTACGTGCTATCATCCTTCTGAGTGACTCACTAATGTCAACGAGTGAGATCATCAATTGCTGTGTTGATCCTACATCTAAAGAAAGTATATTTATACAAACATGAGCAAATAGTAGAATCTAGCAGCTACTTAAGTCTTCACTCCCTTTTTTCTCTTTAAAATTCTCTGTTAATGCAAGTGGATGTCATCTGAGTTGGCTGAGATTAACTGGGTCAATCTTAATGTTCTCTGATCACCCTCATGAGTCATATTTTTGTTCTGGGAAACAAACTGACGTTCCTCTTTTTCTTTGTGTATTTGCAGATGACTCATCAGTGGCTTGGACATCTGTGATTTGATATAGAAGATGAGGCGTGCTCAGCTTGTCCTACATGTCACCGCTTGTAACCATAGCTACTGTTGTCACCTAAACCACACTGACATGGCTAACAGACTATAGTGAATCATGATTATTGCTTTTTGCACGACGCCAGCGCAAGATCAGCTACCTGCATACACGATATTGTGATTAGTTGTGAATGGATTTCTGTTAAAAACCAGCTTTGACCATGTCACTGGGCGAGCAGTCTCAGAAGTGGTTTCCAACCCATGTCCAAGCCACTGTTCTTCAAGCAAGCGGTTTACAGCCCAAAGGCAAAAATGGCACCAACGATGCCTACACGATCATCCAGTTGGGAAAGGAAAAGTACTCCACATCAGTGGCAGAGAAGACGGTTAACCCCGTATGGAGAGAAGAAGCCTCCTTTGAATTACCTGGTCTTCTTTTGGAGGGCAATCCTGAAGTTTATGAGCTCTGCCTTATAGTGATGCATCGGTCCTTGGTTGGGATGGACAAGTTCCTCGGTGAGAGGTCCATCAACCTGAATGAAATATTTGATAACAAAGAAAGAAAGAAAATTGAGTAAGTATGACATTGGTTTTCTTTTCCTGGTCAAGCCCTGATTTCCACGAGAAACTGATCTGGCGTGTTCAAATCTGTCAAAACTTATTCAAAAATACAAATTGCCACCATAATCTTTTTAATAAAAAAAAAAGTATTCATTTAATTTAATCAGAAATGTTTACATGCATTTACTCATTCAAACTGAATGGGGGGAATCTAATCAGATAGACATATGTGACAGGAATAGCACTCTTGCTGAGCTAACAACACAAATGCCAGAAAATGTCCAATAGGCAGGCTAAAATACTCCTTTGAGATGTCAGGTTTATAGCTTGAATTCTAACATTTGTCTTCCCATGCCCAACATCTTAGCCACTGATGTCCTGTTTGTAGGGGAAGTGGAAAATATTTACACAATCATTCCTGTCATGAGTGTAGACTAAATCAGGAGGTTTTTTTTTTTTTGGTCACTTTTGCCATGTGTGTTTTTCCTAAATTAGACCCACAAGTGTGCTGGGCTTTGCGTGTCTGTCTTCTGTTCTGAAATAAGTTTGTGACCACATGATTTAAACACCATTCCCCCAATCCCTCACTTGTTTTACACGTCTATTTTATCCAATACATCTGCTTTTGAGTACTGTTTGGAGCCTAGTGTGCTAACAGGGCTATTTAAAGCACAGGATTGTTTTTTTCTGTTCTAAACGATCTCACACAGCTGCCGCAAGTGAAGTCTTTCACTCTTACTCATCTGGTGAGGGCTCACTGATTATTAACTTTATTTTTTTTCCTTCCTGCTCACAGTGTATTGTTTGAGGCTTAGCAATGAATTGGCCTGAATTGTTGAGAGATTATTTTTAGCTTAACCACTGACATGGTTAGCACTACATGGCCTAATTGAAACTAGTGGAGCTGGCCAAACATGTCCTGTTAGTCATTCCCACGTGGAGTCAGATGTGAGAATAGAAGAGTCTATTTTCTCTACAGCTTTAGTTAAAGGCTCTGGTTTGAATCTGTTTGCGCTGAATGTTGTTTCCCATCTCTAAATGTTTGTGGGTGTGATGTTGGGGGGGGGGGGGGGTTTGGGGGGTTTCCCGCCTTTTAAAGTGAAACCGCGCTTCCATAAAGTTTGCACATTTAAAAGGACTTTGGTTGTTGAATCTTACATGTCCAGCACAGGCATTTCTTGACCCTCCATTAAGCGAGCAGGAACTGCCTTACCAGCTTGGATCTGGTGTTAATTAGCTCGCTGCCATATGGAAAGACATTAGCACATTTCCTCCCCGCCCATCAGTTGGGAGGATCACGATATGTCATAATCAGCGTGCGTGGCTCGTATTTATTTAGCTGTTGGAGCTGATGCTCCTCCGGGCCGCGTGCCTGCCCGGCACAGGTCCTGCTACGGATCTGCTGGTGCCGCCTGTTGCCCCTAATCCCACTCTGCCGCCAGGCCTGACAGCGACGCCTGGACCCTCGGCGCCGCATCCGCAGCGCGCTCCGTGTTGGTCTGCATCGCTTTCCAGCGGACACACTGAGGAGGAAAGCCCGTCCCCATATCTGAGCAGGCAGCCCCATAATTATCGCACACCTGTGTTTGTTGATTATGAGGAGTTTCCCAACGGTCTGAGCCCGAGTGGGAGAATTGTGGCTCCGGGCAAAAGGAGGGAGGTTTATCTTGGCCTTGAGACACACGTGAGGTGCAGCCTCGGCCCCGCGGCAGCAGCATGCTGTGGCTGCTGATCAGCCCGAGCCGGGCGCACAGTGTGGGAATTGGAACCAGCAAGGCCCTTTCATGTCTGGGCTCCTGGGTCAAGAGCCTGGCAGTTTAGAATTTGGCAGCTGCCGGTCTCTTTTTAAACATTTATACTATCTTTTATTTTTTTTATCTTAAATTAATAAAAAACAAAAGAATAGAAACTCAATTTTTTCTTGTAGAATTTTAAGGGGCTACCACATCTCTTGATTTAAATTTTAGTTGGAAAGATCAATAGTTGTACTAAAATAAATGCTGTGTCCTCTTTTTTCTGGTTGAAGAGTCTGAATTAAACAAATTGCTTAACTTGACGTGGATATTCTACCTAACGTGTCACAGCTGGCTTGAAAATGCAGTAAGACGGTACACTTCGAGAAGCCCCTGCTTCCTTGCTAATGGATGCTGCCACAGGCCCTAGAATGCATAGGATATATCTCATTAGCATGTATGAACTGTTGTGTCGCCCTGTGCTGTGTGACTTTGCCGTTTCCCAGTTGCTTGTCTTTGCATTTCTGAACAAAGGCCAGATTTGTGCAAATGCCACTTTATTCTGCTCAAAGCAAAGGCATAAATCCCATTACTTCCAGTTGAGAGAGCTGAGAGGTTAAACAAATAGAAGCAAAAAAGCAGCCCGAAAATGGCCTTTTATTATTCTTCAGCAGGCTATTTCTTATGTTCAGTATTCAAAGAGTAAAGTTTATCCTTTGAATGATAAATGGTGTTCTGACTTCTGTCACAAAAAAAAAGCTTAAGGATTAGTCTTCTGAAATTAGCCCTTTTGGTCAGGTCTATAGAGAAGTAGGTACAGCTTATTAGAAAGGAGGTGGTAAGGATTTGTAGTTGTAGTTGAATTTTTGTAACCCTTTTTCATTTTCTCTTTTTTGTCACTGACTTTACCAAACATAATCTTCCTGCTCTTTTTCTCTCCAGCTGGTACCCCTTGGAATCAAAGCCGGGGAAAAAAAGGAAAGAACGAGGCCGCATCCAAGTCAGCGTCCAGTTCATGAGGAACAACATGACGGCCAGCATGTTCGACCTCTCCATGAAGGAAAAGCCGCGCTCGCCTTTTTCCAAGCTCAAGGACAAAATGAAAGGCCGCAAACACGAGAGCGGCTTAGGCGACACGTCCTCCGCCATCTTGCCGCGCTCGGCCGTTTGCGACTCGGAGCCCAGACGCCAGTCTCTGGCCGCCGAACCACAGCCCCAGCCGGACGCCAAGGTCAAGAGACCACTGCTGTCTGGGGCGCACAAGCTCTCAGCAGCCCATTCCATGTCAGATCTCATTGGGACCCACTTTCGACCCAAACTGGACTCCATGAACTCCATCGAGGAGAGCGGTGAGGATCCAAAAGGGCTCATTAAAAAAGAAATTCTTCATATCATTTGATCTAAAAGAGCAGATCTTGGTCAGAGTAGATTTTCCTTTTTTTTATTTTTTTTTATTTTTTTATTTCACAAAAATGCGATTTTTCTGTAAGTTGAAATCATTAAGCTCAGTTATCTCCCAAATGTTAGCGATGAAACACCCTAGTCTCAAGATTTAGAGCACCTTAAAATAATGAGGCCGCGCAGAATCAGTGTTTTGGCCTTTTTGATAATATTATTTGTTCTTTCCGTGAATCGCCTTATCACAGCCGCAAGTGCATCTGAATGTTTTTGGCCTCCCCTGCAGGAAATCCAGGTGGCCCTCACAGGCGTTCCCAGAGCGAGGTGCCGGGATACCAGGACGGCGAAGCACACAGTGACCCTTTCACTGATATCAGTGACACCCTGCCACAGAAGTATGCCACGCTCCCACGCAACCGCAACCCGTTTGAGGGGGAGCCTGGGCAGCTGTGGGACCGGGCGGAGCGGAGGGAGAAAAAGGAGAAGGTCAGCCTACTGGAACGCGTAACGGGAAAGAAGGAAGGCCGCAAGACCAACTACGGGGGGCGTTCGGGGAGCTCCGGAGACCTGCGCACCCCCAACCCCTTCAGTGCCGACTCTCAGGCAGACACCAACCCGTTCAGCTCGCACTACAAAGTCAGGTAGTCACCGTTTTTATTTTGCTGCTTTATTTTGCCCCCATGCCACTGCTCCACTACAGCTGTTTTTCCGACCCGCTCGGCCACATTTGGTAAACAATACAGCACATCTAACTCAGCTTAATGTCGTCCATATTCCTTTATTCCTTTTTAAAAAAATAAAACAGATTGCATCCCGACATGTTCGTTTCTGGTAGAATGATCACCTTCGTTCAGGTCCGGCTAAAACTTTTAGATTTAAGGCTTCCTGGCTTGTTTTTGTGGAGGCCTCAGGGGTGAATGATGACATCAAACCACCGATGGCCAGCGTTTAGTGCACAACTTGAAAGCATTTCAAATCTTGTAGCACGTTTCACCTAAATGCCTGGACTTTGTAAATGTGGCTGAAACGAATTTATCTCAATTAATTTTTTTTTTGTAGTAATGACCACCTAAAGGGCCCGCTTCCCTCTCTTACATTCTTAAGTCAGATATTTTCATTCTAGCCGTGCAGGTAACATCTCATTCCTGCATTTCCGAAAGAGTTGACGGCTAAGTTCTGGTTTATCTTTTAGTGGAAGGTGTCATTAGTGGCTCTTTAGAGGGCCTGGGCTTGATAACAAAGGCCTCTGAGCTATAGTAATGAGATCCTCTGCTGAGATAGACCACCCAATTAACTGCTTATCTCTATAGGAACTGGTCCATCATCTTTACTGCTGTCTTTGTTATACAGAGATCAGTGGGTCATCTTTTAGGTCCAGGGCCAAAAAAAAAAGTAGTAGGGTGTATTTATACAACAATGCATGTTCCCCTTTAGAATGAACATTTTACAACGAAGGAAAATGACAATCTATATTGTACTTCCCCAAGGCCTCATTCTGGGGGTCGCCACTAGGGTTCTAAATCAGCTTGATATTACCCCAAAATAGCCACTGTGCTTTCCCATGATGACTGACCTCCTGTGTGATTGGTTCACAGCGACAAAAAGCAGACCGGAAATGACGGCTTCACGTATGGCCAGAAGAGGAAGGACATCTTTGGCAAGAAAAATGTAAGGAAAACTTCAAAGCACACCTTTCCCAAAAGCAAGTTTTGTTTATCTTA